GAATATAGGCCTACTTCTGCACCCAGCTGTGCAGTGCCGTTACTAGACTTGTGGCCATTGTCATGCTGTCTGCTCATTAGCATGCAGTGCTCACTTGACTAGACTCCTTTTTTAACTAAGAGAAATATTCCAGGACTTGATCGTTTTAGGTTGTCATTAAGGCCAAAAAGACTGTCCAGGTACCAAAAAGAACATATGTTTTTATCAGATAATCTGGACATTTCAAAGGACAGCACATCTGGGCTACTCCTTTCTTTCTCCCAACTTTTGTCTGGTGTGTGAACCACGTGACCAGCATCCAAGGAGTGTTTTGTAAATTGGAGTCACTGTGAAGTCTGATTCCAAACCGGCTGTGGCGTTTCTGGCAAATGATTGTTTTCTGGTAGAGCTTCCTCTACGCACAGACCAGATGGAACTTGTATTTTTAGAAAACTGAATAATTATTCAGAAAATTCTTTTTAAAACTCAGTTATCAAAAGCCACATGAACTCAGTTCTTTCCTTTAGCCTAGTAAGTGATAGGAAAGAAGTCCAGTGTCACACCTTTCCTTGTTCATCCAACCCTTAGCTTGTTCCTCCTCCTGTTAATCCTGTTTCAGTTTTTATTAACCCATGTGACTGTAGACCTGAGGTCATCTGCACTGAATGAGCCATGCTGTATAGCAGTGACTATTCAGATCTATGTCTCTTGACAAACCACTTTGTTGGTTATGTTTTTCCCTTAGTGACCAAAGTATTCTTCCCATGACATGTCTTCCTAAAAACAAAAAAGCAGAGATCAGAAAAAATGTAATCTTTGCAATTTGGATGCTAGCACAAATCATGTAATATATAATGCTATGTTTAATCTACATTTACATATACTATGTTGCTCTTTTTACAAATTGGCCTTTTATTTGAAGAGAGATCATTACAGTTCATTGTTTATTTTTGGCGTAGGGAAAATTGATACTAATTGAAATTGACTTTGGTTGGATTTGGCTTAAGAGAAAACCATACATTTCGTCAACTAAAAGACTTCATTATGTTTTTAGAACAGGAAGCTTATATAAGTGCATCAACAAGTGCATTAATGCAAAACAATGCACCAACCAAAATCAAGGGAACAGCAAGGGGAGCCGCTGTTCTATGTTGTCCCTGGTCCCACATCTCTTATGGCATATAACCCCACACACTATTTTAGATCCTGAGGTATGGGGAAGCCGCATTGGGAAGCTGGGCCAGAGGAGATAGAATTTTGAGGTTCTCAGTGTTTGTTTCTGTGTTTTGGTTTACTTAACTGTTGAGCTGTTTTCCAGAAGGGCTCAAAATCGAAGCAGGCTCCCAGAGCTGGGTCTTGAGAAGGATCCTTGGCTTAAATTACAAGTGTAATAGAATGTGTTGGCCATTTACCCTGATCAAAAAGAATATCAGTGAGCTCAGTCTTACGGGCAGGGGCATGGGGACCGTCTTGGCAGAAGCACCCATGAACAATGGCCCAGGCTGCTGCCATCTCGCACTGAAGCTGCCGGGCTCTGCTGCCTCTGAGGCACCCTCAGACCCTCTCAGAGAGGGCTCACTCTTATCTTTTATTTTGTGAAAAAAGTTTACCCTAAAGTTTTCCATACTAATTTTTTTCCCCTCATTCCTCCACTAAAAAATAAAAACAGGCTGGACACGGTAGCCTGAGCCCAAGATTTCGAGACCAGCCTGGGCAACTTGGCAAGACTTTGTCTCCACAATAAATTTAAAAAATTATCTGGGTGTGGTGGCGCACACCTGTAGTTCCAGCTACTTGGAAGACTGAGGTGGAAGGATCGCCGGAGCCCAGCAGGTCGAGGCTGCAGTGACTGTGAGCGTGCCACTGCACTGCAGCCTGGGGGCCAGAATGAGACTCCGACTCAAAAAAAAAAGAAAAACAACCTTTTTGTTTCTGTGTATGGGCATAATATTTTTGTCAGAAATATCAGGGATGAGATTTGGATGTTATCACACAGACATAATTCTAGAAGATTGCTGAGTTAGTGCCTTTCTTTAGGAATGTAATGTGACTGTGCTTGCACCCTTTTATGATTTTTTGGATGGCACCAACGAAAGGGACAGAGTGTTGATATTTGTGGGCAGCACAGCAAATGCTTTTTATGCTTGATTTCCCTCTCCCCTACTCTGACATGCTTTTCAGACAAGCAGGGAAAGGGAGCCTTGAGCCCAACGCAACCCCTTCTCCATAACTGTTTCCTGAGTTGGGTTTTGCCAGTTCATCCTCAGAGACTGTTTGTTCTCATTCATTTAGTTCTCCTCTATAATAGCATTGGAATAAGCTGTTCATTTATTCTGATTTTCCCTAGAAAGGAAAAGGCAGATTTTGGTTATACATATGAGAGGGACCCAAAAAAACCGGAAGGCGGGCCCCTTTTTGGAAGGCACTTGAACTTTGTTGACCAGATCAAATGGTCAACGTTTTTATCTGGAAGTTTTGAGAAGGTTGCATCATGATTTGTGGAAGAAACATCTGGAGTTGTGGCAAACAGGTGACTGATTCTTCCACCATGACAATGTACCTGCCGACACGGCACTGAGTATTCAGCAGTTTTTTACCAAAAATAGTAAGACCCCTGTGCCTCACCTGCCCTATTCACCCAATCTCACCCTGAGCGACCTTTTTTTGTTGTTGTTTCCCCAGTTGAAAATAGTCCTGAAAGGGAAATGTTTTGCCGATGTAGAAGAGGTGAAAAAAAAAAGTGGCAGAAACATTGATGAGTTCAAAAACTGTTTTGAGCAGTGGAAAAAGAGTCTCGATAGCTGTATTGCATCAAATGAAGAGTACTTTAAGGTGACTGAAATTTAAACATGTAAGAACAAATCCAGCCAGGCTCAGTGGCTCAGCCTGTAATCCCGCACCTTGGGAGGCCAAGGTGAGTGGATTGCCTGAGCCCGTGGCTTTGAGACCTGCCTGGACAACTTGGCAAGACCTCATCTCTACAATAAATTAAAAAATTAGCCGGGCGTGGTAGCACGCACCTGTAGTTCCAGCTACTCGGAAGGCTGAGGCGGAAGGATCGCCGGAGCCCAGCAGGTCGAGGCTGCGGTGGCCGGGAGTGGCCACTGCACTCCAGTCTGGGCAACAGAGTGAGACTCCAACTGAAGAAAAAAAAAAAAAAAAAAAGAACAAATCCACCAGGCATGGTGACTCAAGCCTGTAATCCCAGCAATTTGGGAGGCAGAGGCAGGAGGATTACCTGAGCTCAGGGGTTCAAGACCAGTCAGAGCAACATGGCGAGACCTCATCTCTACAATAAATCAAAAAATTAGCCAAGCATGGTGGCACATGCCTGTGGTTCCAGCTTCTTGGAAGGCTGAGTTGGAAGGATCACCTGAGCCCAGTAGGTCGAGACTGTGGTGACCGTGAATGTTCCGGGTTGGATTGTGCCTCCAACCTGGGTGACAGAATGAGACTTTGACTCAGAAAAAAAGGAATAAATCCATAATTTTATATAAATAAATTCCAGATTTTTTTGGAATTCCCCTTGTATTCATTAACTTAGATGTATGGGCTTCTCCCTTCCAAACTCAAGGTCTCAGGCACGGTGATGCAGTCAGGACACAGGCTTGCCTCAGTGGCCCCTGGAAGCTGCTGCTGGCAGCACTCAGCAGCTATCCTGGAATGCTCACCTATTTCCAGACCTTTTCTTCTTCCACACCTTCTCTCCAGTTCCTCCTCTAGCCTCAGCTTCCCTCTCCCTCTCTCATTCTCTCTTTACTGCTACCTACTTACAGGCTCTTCAGAAACTCAAGGGAAAGAGCTTCTGGTTCTCAGAGTATAAATTTAGACTCAAATGTTGTGACAGCCCTGAAAGAGAAAAAGTTTGAGCTGAGGCATCTTACCAATTTCAGTTTCTGTGAAGGACAGGTTCTATAATGAGCATATTGTCCCAAGCAGCGAGTTTGGTTGGCCGATGGAGACCAAGAGAGAACTTCCTTTAGAAATTATTGCGTTAAAAAGAACCTTGGAGTTCACCTAGCCCAGGGTTTTCTCCATATGACTGATTGTAAAAAGTACCTAGGTCTTTTATTAAATAATAAAAACTCATAAACCCAGCCCTACTGAATCATGAACTCCAAGAAAGGATCCTTGTAATCTGTTTTGTTGACTTTTGTTTTGTTTCGTTTTTCTTTCTCAGCAAGCTGCCTAGGTAAGTCTTAGGATCAGGCAAATTGGGAGCCCTATATATCCACCACCTTTTATAACCAAAGAAACTGAGTCAGAGTGATCAGTTGGTTCCTTGGGTTACTCAGGCAGTGAGTAGGCTAAAGTGTCATCTAACCACTTACTGATGGTATGTTGTTGATCATCTAACGTGCATATCATTCCCATCTATGAGATTAATACCTGTTACTTGGGGGCTGTTATGGGAATAAGGTCATATGTAACAGTGTTTTGTAAACTGTAAAGAGCTAGATGAACATAAGCATTCATTAAATGGCTAAACCAAGGTATCACCTTCATAGCTGACACTGCACCCCAGTGGCTCTTCAAAACCTTGTTAAAATATCGTGAGCTTATTTGTCCAAGTTAGAAACTCCCTGTTGATGTTTGAGGCTATGAAAAGTTCCTTCTTCTCTGATAGTTTCCTGGTTGATTTAAAAGCACAGGCATTGGCCATGCGTGGTGTCTCACGTCTGTAAACCCAGCATTTTGGGAGGCAGAGGCGAGACGATTGCCTGAGCCCAGCGGTTCGAGACCAGCCTGGGCAACTTGGAGAGAGACCTTGTCTCTACAATAAATCAAAAAATTAGCTGGGCGTGGTGGTGTGTGCTTGTAGTTCCAGCTACTTGGAAGACTGAGGCAGAAGGATCGCCTGGGCCCAGCAGGTCAGGGCTGCGATGGCAGTGAGCGTGCCACTGCACTCCTGCCTGGGCGACAGAGTGAGACTCTTGACTAAATTAGTGTTTTGGTGGGCCCAATAGGCGTGTGTTATCTCCTAAGTAAAGTTGAGACTCAACGCCATCATCCCTGTGCAGGTGTGAAATCGAAGCAACTCTTGAGAGGCTAAAGAAACTGGAGCGTGATCTCAGCTTTAAAGAGCAAGAGCTTAAAGAACGAGAAAGACGGTTAAAGATGTGGGAGCAAAAGCTGACAGAGCAGTCCAACACCCCGGTGAGTATCTTCTCTTCTTACCTCTTTCCAGATGCTGCTCTTAGCAAGTGTGGCTGAGCATGGCCGCATGGCAGTTCTACCTCCCGCTGCCCCTCCTCATCGCCTGCCTTGCCCCTGAGTATTAAAGGGCCCGCACGTGTACTCAAGTATTGTCATATCTAACTTCAATTCACAAAATGCCAGAGATTTCAAAGAAAAGCTCGTCTCATTTCTGGCTCTTTCCTTAAGAAGGTTATTCTGTCCGTGTGTTGATATATTAGAATTATAAAATAAAATCCATGGGCCGGGTGCAGTGGCTCATGCCTATAATCCCAGCACTCTGGGAGGCCAAGGTGAGAGGATTTTCTGAGCCCTCGGGTTTGAGCCCAGCCTGGGCAACTTGGTGAGATCTCATCTCTACAGTAAATAAAAAAATTAGCCGATCTTGGTGGTGTGTGCCTGTGGTTCCAGCTGTTTGGAAGGCTGGGGCGAAAGGATCACCTGAGTCCAGTAGGTGAAGGCTGCTGTGGTTATGAGCATGCCACTGTACTCCAGCCTGGATGACAGAGTGAGACTAACTCAAAAAATCAAAAATAAAATAATAAAATAAAATCTGATGTATTTTCACCCCGTGTATTAGGTTCCTCAGAACATGCACCTCGATGCTGATTAACTCTTTATAATCCATCAGTCATTAATAATCATAAGGCATCTAGGAAGTCTTTGAAGGGTTAAAACTTAACCACATTTTCCTTTTGAAATAGAGCTAATCTCATGACATATAAATGGCAAACATTAATATTCCTTACTCAACTTAGTGTTAATCACAGGCAGCAAAAGATTGGAAAAAGGCTTCTCTCTAAACAAGCTTCCAGTATTTACTACATCTGGGAAATATCTTGTTTTCTCCCAAGTCTTGTATTTAGAAGAATATAAAAATTATTTTTAAGGATTTCACTATTTATACACTAACCTTGAGCTTACATGCTGATATAATATAATAAAAGCTAGTCAATTTTCAGCATCCTTCCCTATTTTAAATGACATACCGTTTTCAGGAATGAAGTACAAATTTATAATTCATTTCTCAAGGGTTTTTAATGGGCAATATTTGTCCACTTAGAATTATAAATAATGGTAGATTAAAAGCAAACATATATTAAATTTATTTTGATAGTTACTATGGTAGTTATAAAACAATACTTAAGTACCCTTCATTTTGTGATCTTCAAGAAGCTTTCCTGTCCTTAAAAAGTCTTAATCTCCATTAACTAGCCAGTGCCCAACTACAAAGTATTTTCCAGTGTCTAAAGAATAAAATAGTTTGTCTCCTTTTCCAACTTGCATGGAGAAGAAACCTGATATCCAAAAAAGGAAAAAACAATGAAGTTAAATATTTATTACCAGATTTAACTTTTTCAAAATGACTTTGGTTATCCAGGGAATTCCAAAATCAGAATTGAATTACTATACACGAGACTATCATGGAACATTTAAAAGGTTCCACATTTTATCTGTGAATTTAACTTGGCTCTTGAGAAAGAACATTCAAGAAGTTTCCTGTCCTAGTTGACATGGCAGATGCCGAGGCATCCCCCCAGGGATCTGCATGGGGCAGTGCTTCTCCCAGAGCTGGTGAGGGGCAGGAAGCAAGAATGTGACCCTGTCCCTACAGCACGGCTTCTGAAGTTTGAGAATTTTTTCTTTTCTTTTTAAATGCATTGAAATCTTAAGCTATAAAGCACTGCATGGCTTGACTCTTTCTAGATGTAGTATTGTAAGAAGAAACTTTCAGCTACCCATTAGAGTATGCTTTAGAACCTTTGGTTTGTTGGCATCAGTTTTGCTAGGAAATTATGGGCTGCCTGGCACACAGTTTTGCTACTGGTAACACAGTTGTATAATAAATAATAAAACACTGTGAGTACTCAGTAGGTTGTATGCTTGCATTTTGCAACTCCGGAAAACTTTCTGTGAAGGAACAGCTCTGAGGGCTACCCTCTGACAATGGACAGCATGAAGCACAATCTCAATGCGATTTTCTTCTTTTTTTCTTTATGAGGGATAAGTTTTCTTTCTTTTCAGTACTTGCTTTTAATGTCTCTTCTGCTTAGAGCTGGTATTTCTGAAGGAAAGAAAGTTTATGCTCAGGTATTTAATAAGTAGGTGTTTTCTTTTATCCTCACATCGTTTTCTATTTGACTTTAACTGAGATTTCTGAGAGAAAGATAAAATAAACCTTTTTAAAAGGAAATGGTTGGAGGTTTCGGTGTTCTGTATGTGACCTCGTTTTAATTATAAGTTTAACATTTATGTAACTTCATAAAAAATTATACTATTGAATTAATTTCGAGGACACTGTTTCCTTTCTTAAAACATTAGTTAAAGACATTCGGGGAAATGAATTCCTTATGCATAAGTATGGATAATGTTTCTTTTTAGCTTGAAGCTTGATATAAAAATTTTATGTCTTTTAAGAATACAAGCTTACTTGAGAAGTATTTGTAGAGATCTTTAAAGTCTAATCTGATGTGAGGAAGGACCCTTGAAATAATAAAATAAGCAACAAGAGCCCTGAGAATATATAACGGTTGAAAACATATTTTGATGGCAAGGGAAATAATTTCCTGTTTCCAGTGTTTAAGGATCTAAAGCTATTTTTTTTCCATATCACTGATATTTTTTGGCTGAATTATATGAAGTTAAAATTATTATTGCAATAACAACTCTAGAAGTCTTTTCTTAAAAGTGAGCTACTTTGTAAAGATTCAACTCCAACTTTAATTTAAAAGTTAGGAAATTGTTTCTAAATATTAGGTGCCTTTACACCTGGAATATAAAGGTCATCCCAGAGTTATATTATTTGTATATCATTTATCACAAATTTACCCACATTTAACCCACACCAAAAATATAAGCCTGAATTTGCTTGTTTCTCAAAAGAAGAGTCCTATAGCATTTTTCACATCCTAACAGTTTTACCCTGAAGTGAATATGACCAAACACTTGTAGGAATAGGTTGGCTGTTGAAAATAATTACATAAGGTAGAAAAATGTCTGTAGCCACTGTGAGAGGAGACGTCTTGGAAAAAAGTTCAAGGAAAAGAAGGAAACGTGAATACTAGAGAATATAAAAAGACAACAATCTAAATTGATACTTTCCTTTCCTCCCAGTTTTCACATGTAAGTACTTGTGTATAACTTGACTGAGAGAGACAGAATCTGGAATTTCTTCACAAATGAATTATTTAATAATTTGAATAAATAGTATTATATCAGGTATGCCTGTAATAAATGATGAATTAAAGCAAGTGAATTTTAGATTCAGTTTTAGTGTATAGTCAGGGTACTAATCTAGCTAAAAGGGTAGTTAACTCAAATTTCCCTAGAACTGTATTGACTACTGAACTGTTTTTGTGCTTCCTCTAAACTTTTCTTCTTTGGTACATGGTTTCTTAATTTTTTGCTTGAAATTTAATCTCTACTTTATTTCTTTTTTTAAAAGTATAATGGTTAAATGTTTCTGTGTGAAAGTGAAATTGGGAAAAATTAGGAGAAATCTTAAAAGCGATTTTGTTTTAAGCAAAATGAGGGCTTAAAACGTGCAACTTCCTTTCCATTTGAAATTTGGCTTGCTGTGGTACTGTGCAAACTTTTTGTTGTGATTTGTTCTGTCATTCATAAATCATGGCAAATATGCTAGAGCCAAATCTGCCATTAAATAAATTCTCACATAATTCCTATATTCATTTATTTCACTAATCATTTACCTCCTGTGTGGTATCAACTAATTTTGTGGTATCTGTTTTTCTTAATTAAATTGGTCCTAATTTCTCTTTTTACTTCTGTCCTTTCTTCTCTTTTGATAGCCTCTCTTGTCTCTTGCTGCAAGAATGTCTGAGGAGTCTTACTTTGAATCTAAAACAGAGGAGTCAAACAGTGCAGAGATGTCATGTCAGATCACAGCAGCAAGTAACGGGGAGGGCCATGGCATGAACCCAAGTCTGCAGGCCATGATGCTGATGGGCTTTGGGGATATCTTCTCAATGAACAAAGCAGGAGCTGTGCTGCATTCTGGGATGCAGATAAACATGCAAGCCAAGCAGAATTCTTCCAAAACCACCTCTAAGAGAAGGGGGAAGAAAGTCAACATGGCTCTGGGGTTCAGTGATTTTGACTTGTCAGAAGGTGACGATGATGATGATGACGGTGAGGAGGAGGATAATGACATGGATAATAATAGTGAGTGAAAGCAGAAAGCAAAGTGATAAAATGGAAAATGTTTGGGGAAAAAAAGTAACTTGTTATCTCAGTCTGTACAAAAACCTGTAAGAGGCAGAAAACCAAGCACTGCATTTTTAGGCCAATCACATCTATATGATAGTAATTTCTTTATCAATTTTCCTTTTGATTTATTTTTGCTTACAAAAAAACAGGGGGAAATTAAGACAAAAAAATATACACATGAATCAGTAAACATGGTGCCTGATTATAGAAATTTGTGATTTCTATACAATATAGTATATATTTTTTTTAACTGAAAACGTTCTGGCTTTTCCTTTTTTTCATGAATGCTTTGTAGTTTGTATTTGAGTTTATTTTATTTCTTTTATTCAATTGGTTAAGAAAACTTTTACCCCTAGTTCTTCGTTGACACTTCAGGATTCTATAACATACATTTTTTTTCTCATGCTATATTTTTTCTTATGCTATAATGTCAGAAATGATTAATAGTGAGGACAAAACATACAACAAATATATTGAGGTGGTAGAAGGTTATAACAAAATGCTCTTCAGAAATATCTAAATGCCGAGGATTTTTAATACTAAGTAGCACAGCTACTCAAAGTAAAATCTGAGAGGTGTTCTCAGTAGTACATTTGAAGGAGAAATACTCTAATTTGAAACCAACAGTAGATGTTGCACGCTCTCATACCAGCGCTGGCCCTGGAAACTTCTTAACAACACACTGTCATTTTAAGGCATAGCTTGTACCCTATACAAAGAGAAAGATACAGTCT